AACATTCTGCACACACTACTGATTTTCTCATTAATAATGTCAGGACATTCTGGGAATACTATTATAAGTACTGGCCTCCTGTATCAATGACACATTACTAATATTAATACTGTATTTGAGCCATTATTCAGAAGCTGAGCCATTAATATTTGCATAATATCAGAAGCCACTACACAATATTTTGCACATATTTGTATCATCACTAATAACAGTTTTCTGCACACACACTGTATCAAGCAGTGTGTGCAGAATGTTGTGTGAGTGATACAGTGTGTGTGATACAGTGTGTGCAGAATGTTGTGTGAGTGATACAGTGTGAGTGATACAGTGTGTGCAGAATGTTGTGTGTGTGATACAGTGTGTGCAGAATGTTGTGTGAGTGATACAGTGTGTGTGATACAGTGTGTGCAGAATGTTGTGTGAGTGATACAGTGTGTGCAGAATGTTGTGTGTGTGATACAGAGTGTGTGCAGAATGTTGTGTGTGTGATACAGTGTGTGCAGAATGTTGTGTGTGATCAGTTATGGTGATGCAGATGCAGTGTCGGTGCTGCAGTCAGTAAAGGGTTAAGGATGCTGTAGCCCCCCCCCCCCATTCCAGGTAGTGACATCACACAGGATAGTATGGGCAGAGCAACCTCAGCATCTACCCAGCTCTGCTCTGCACAGCTCTGCACACACACAGGGCCAGCTCTGCTCTGCACAGCTCTGCACACACACAGGGCCAGCTCTGCACACACAGGGCCAGCTCTGCTCTGCACAGCTCTGCACACACACAGGGCTAGCTCTGCTCTGCACAGCTCTGCACACACACAGGGCCAGCTCTGCACACACACAGGGCCAGCTCTGCTCTGCACAGCTCTGCACACACACAGGGCCAGCTCTGCTCTGCACAGCTCTGCACACACATAGGGCCAGCTCTGCACACACACAGGGCCAGCTCTGCTCTGCAAGAGTGACAGTGTCTGTTCTGCAAGGCCTGCAGAGCATATCTCCCTGCACTGAGGGGAGTAGCATTACATCTATAGGTAGAGCAGGCAGAGCATCTCACCCAAATCAGATCATTATTCTGCATCCTGACATACAGAGCATTCAGACCCAGGAGCAGAGCATCTTGCCCTAGTGACCCCAGGAGCAGAGCATCTTGCCCTAGTTACCCCCAGGAGCAGAGCATCTTGCCCTAGTGACCCCCAGGAGCAGAGCATCTTGCCCTAGTTACCCCCAGGAGCAGAGCATATTGCCCTAGTGACCCCCAGGAGCAGAGCATCTTGCCCTAGTTACCCCCAGGAGCAGAGCATATTGCCCTAGTGACCCCCAGGAGCAGCCTGGAATAAAGGATCCGGGGTATAAATCTACCCCATGACTGGGACCAAGCTGTTAGCGCATGGAATACAAGACTGGGGGGCTGTGTGACCCCCCAAACTGCACAGGGGGACAAGAGGTAAGTTCACACCCAGGAACAGTCATGTACTCACTGTCTCTTTACCTCTCACTGGCATGGTGGCTGTCCCTGTTTATCTCAATCTGTCTCTCACACCCTGTCTCTCTATGTCTGTCTGTCTCTCTGTCTGTCTCTCTCTCTGTCTCTCTCTCTGTATTGATATCCCAGTGTGACAGTATAGTCTCATTTCGTGGTATAAATGTGTGTGTGTGTGTGTGTGTATACCAATGTGTGTACTTACTGTGTAATACATGTGTGCATGGCAAGTACTTACAAAACCACTTATGCGTATATTTCTATTAGTGTCTGTTTACGTACTTTCCATAAGTGAATATACTCTAAACAAAGTATATCCTGTTGGGGGATACACTGTGTTCTGACAGCATCTGGTATTGGGGGATACACTGTATACTGACAGCAGCTGGTATTGGGGGATACACTATATACTGACAGCAGCTGGTATTGGGGGAAACACTATATACTGACAGCGTCCGGTATTGGGGGATACACTGTATACTGACAGCAGCCGGTATTGGGGGATACACTGTATACTGACAGCAGCCGGTATTGGGGGAAACACTATATACTGACAGCGTCCGGTATTGGGGGATACACTGTATACTGACAGCAGCCGGTATTGGGGGATACACTATATACTGACAGCAGCCGGTATTGGGGGATACACTATATACTGACAGCAGCTGGTATTGGGGGATACACTGTATACTGACAGCAGCCGGTATTGGGGGATACACTGTATACTGACAGCAGCCGGTATTGGGGGATACACTGTATAC